CCAAGCCCCGGGGGGAGCTGCATTGCCCCCCACGATGCGGCCGTGAGCCCTGCTCACATTGGCAGCGCTGGGCCGCCTTTCGCCACAGGGCCCTGGAGTGGCAGAGGCGGCATTGAGGGGCAAGTTCTAGTCACGTCCAGGCCTGCCTGGCTTCTGCTCCCTGGACTTTTTAGCTTCACCTGGCTCAGGTGGGTTCTGGAGGAGGGGTGCTTGAGGTCTGGGGTGTCCAGGTCCTGCTGAGAAACAACTCTTTGAGTGTCACTGCTATCTTCTAAGCCCCCTCCCCTGCACCCCACTCCCTGCATAGGGGTTCAGCGGGAGCCAGCCCACCCTTCACAGCAGCAGGCCCAGCAATCCTGTCCCAGGGGGTATGAAGGGTGGTGGGTAAAGGGTTCAGGTAGGAGAGCAAGCTGGCTGGGGTGGGGCAGGGCAGGCACCCTTCACACCTCGGCACTGGTGCAGCCTGAGCTGGAGCTCAGTGGTCTCTTGCTTCACAGCCCACTGGGCACTCCTCTGAGCAGCCTGCAAGGCCTTTGTGCCCTGGGCCGACAGAACTGCTGGGACATGGGACACAAAGCACGCAAGCTTGGCAAGAGCCTCAGTTCAGCCTCCTGGCCCAGCCCAAGTCCTGCTTCTGGAGGTCGTGAGGAAGAAGGCCGGGCTTTCAGAGCACCCCAGACCCCCAGGCCCAACCCTTGGAGCAGATGAGCCCAGATTTGGAATCTCTGCAAAGTGCTTTTCCCTACTAACCAAAAGAAAGCCAAGTGTGGGGGCTGTATCTCAGTTATCCCACCAGTCTGGGAGGCTGAGGCAGGAGGATCTCAAGTTCCCTCCCAGCCTGGGCAGTTTAGTAACTTGGCAAAACCTTGTTTCAAAATAAAAAAAAATACAGCAGAAGGGAGGATATGTGATTGCTCCTGAACTTATTTCATTACACACACACACACACACACACACACACACACACACACAAATGAAATACAATACAAAATACTTAAAGCGCTGAGGATGTGGTTCAGTGCAAAGGCCCTGGACTTGGTACGGCAAACAAAACAAAAACTAACAATAACCAAAAACTTCAGAAAGCAAACTGTAGGGTCTGGACACCCCAGAGGTCAGGCCTGTCCACATTAAGTGACCGAGTGCGAGGTGCCCACCTTGGGCAGCCCAGCCATGCTGCTCCAGGCCTTCAGCACCCTGCTGGTCCCCCTGGCAGGGCTGGGCAGCTCTGCTTCCTGTGTGAGCCGGGCTGCCTTCCTCCCCTTCCTATATCAAGTTCCTGGCCCCTTAGCCCAGCAGGTGGGCAGAAAGGGCCACAGGTCCCCTCATCCTTCTCTGAGCCCGTCTCCCCTGGGCCCTCCCACCTCACACAGCCCGGCTCACCTTGCAGGGTGCTGGGGGGCAGGTACATGTACAGTGGGTGCCCGTGGGCAGACCAGGGGTCTGGGTGGGACAGAAGGAGCAGCAATGCAGCCAGCAGCATGTTGACCGGGAGGCCTGTCTTCTGTCCCTGGCCGAGCTTACCCTATCCTGCCTGCCTCTTGCTGCTTTTCCGCCCCTGGGCATGGAATTGTTGTCCCTCAAATCATCTGACCCCATTTTCCTAAGTCCAGGTCCAGATGCCTCATTCTGCTCCCCGGGACTATGGCTCACCTGGCCCACACCCCCTGGGTGCCCTCAGGGAAGGAGGCAGCAGGGCCTTTATAGGGGATGAGGGCAGTGAGGGAGGAGGCCAGTGTTGGAGGAGGGAATGAGGTAGTGGGCTCAGCCCTCACCTTTGAAGTCCCATAGTTCCCTGTTTCAAAGGAGCCCTTGTTCCTGTGGCCCCATCAAAGGGGCTGAGATGGGGGACAGGAGCTAACGGTTGGGCTGGGGGCCAGGCAGAGGGGACTGGGGAGGGATCCCCATCTGCCAGAGCCCCCTGAGGAGTCTGCGGCTACGCTGTGGGCAGACACTCTTGGAGGGAGCAGAGCAGGGGGTGTCTGGGGGTCCCCGGCAGCCCCACTTCTGAGGAAGACACTGAGTGCCCTGCCCCGCTGGCCCTAATTGCTTGGCAGCGTCCCTTCCCGATGTGGCCACTTCTAAAGATGATCAAAGCCTCCTAATTGATGCTGTAATTGCTGCACTGGGGCTGGAGGGGCAGGAAGAGCAAAGGCGGGTGCTGGAGTGGCCTGGAGGGGAAGGCGGGAGATGAAAGGACCCACAGTGGCCCAGTTTGGGGAGAACGGGCCTCACAGACCCTAGTCCCTGCCGCCTGGTCCATCCAGCATTGTTCCCAGTGGCTGTGACCCTGATCTGGCAGGAGGGAGGTTTGTGGGAAGGGCTGAGTCACCACCTGGGCAGGGTGGTGTCCTTTTGCCCTGCCTCCCCTCCCCTCTGCCCCTCTGCTCTGCTACCCCGGGTTGGGAGGCAGGAAGAGCAGTAAGACCAGGAGCAGCTGTCTCTATTTACTGTCCCTCTGTCCCAGCTCAGAGGGAGAACCCAGCCGCAAAGAAAGATTAGGCCCTTAGAGCAAGAATTACATTTTTTTTTTTTTTTTTTTTT